TCGTGATTGGTGTGGCGGCCATCGCTTTGAATGTGAATGTACGAATCGGAGTGGCTTTCCCTCCAGACTGGGCTGACAAAAGAGGAGATGGAACCAACAGAACCTGAGGCACAACAGCTCTAGGAGCAGCCATGGGTAAAACAGATAGACAGCTGCCCACCCATCCGTCATCATTGATTTCAAGTGAAGTTTTGTCAATTCAGGATTTAAACCCTTCATTCTGGCTCTTTCAGGGACAGGAAGGACCTTTCCAATCAAATCACCTTCCCAACTTCTTGCAGTAGTTTCACATTTTGGGTTCTTTGACAGCATCTGGGGCCAAACACTTATCTGTGCTTTGGATGAATATTTAGATACAGCTGTCTGCAACACGGAGATAGCAGCTGGTGTCCCGTAGATATCCTGGTGCCACGCCTGGACAGAAGCCCTGTCATCTGGGCCAAGACAGACCCTGGAGGTCTAACCAAGGGTGCTCAAAGACTCAGAAACTACTTTTAATATCCTTCAGCAGAGACATATTGCTGTATCTAAGATATTTGGCTATGCAGCACACAAAAAAAGTCAAATAAGTCATTCTTCCAGAACGCAACTTTAAAATCAGAGGGAAAACAGATGTACCGTTTTTTTTTTTTAAATGTTAAATGTGAAACTTTATTATTATATCAGGCTCGGCGTAGCTGTACTGTCCACATGGCTGACATTAACACAGGTGTTGTAACAGATGGCCCTGCTTTGGTTTAACATTTAATTTGCCATTTAGAGCTTTTGTCGATAAAGCAGATTAAATTTAATTAAAAATTGCTCATTTAAGTGAGTTATTTGAAAATCACCATTAGATCTTATAGCCGCCACAAAAGATTGAATGCAACAATAGTTTTTGACAGATAAAAATACAAAACAATCCTCTTTTTTTTGTTTGGTTCTTGCCATTGCAGCTGAACTATATTTGTGTGGCTTCGACATTTTCCCCAATGGCATGAACTAAATTTGCCCTTTTTAATTACCAAACTTAATCCCATACTAATCCAATAATGCTGGTGCAATAAGCAAAGCGAGCCAGTTGAAAGGCAGAGCTTGAAATGATGAAAGAGTTTGTGTTTAGTGTGACGGGTACTTCCACCTCTCTTAACTGTCTGCTGGTCGGCCTTGGCAACACCGCATCACAGTGCTGGACTGTTTGGGTGCCAGGCTCACGGAGCAGCTGTCGGGCCGATCCATTGGGCACTAATTCAGCCAACCACAGGGAGCCCGCTCTACCCCTTCTTCTCCCTCTCTGCGACTACAAGCAGCCCTCATCTGTGTGCACACCCTAACATTAAACAATGCAGGCTTTAATTATAAGGAACCTGCCAACACCCAATAGTCTGTCTTTTTAATCAGACATTTGTAGCTGAAGGAGGGTTTCCAATATTGTAATGCAAAAACATCCTTTCTTTGGTAAGCAGGAACTTTTGTCTAAAGGAAGTGATTCACAAGAAAAGTGATTCAGTTTTATAGAGTGAAGTCCAGGAGTCTCAAAACTGATCAAAATCCTAAATAATTCACAGCAATTTTAAGCAGATTACAAGTAAACAAGCACAAACCTCTTAAAGAGGCCGAACAACAGATCCAAAGACAAAAAGCACCTTTAAACGTTTGTTTCAAGTTTTTTTTGTGGTCATTTTGATGAGTTTACATCTATTTGTGTGGCTTCACAGTTTGTTGTGTTCATCAATTACAGTAAGCATGGCTGAAGGTAAAGTGTTGCCCATGCCTGCGTGTGTGCTCATTGTGTCTGCCTGTTAGCAAAATTTCTTGTGAACCTCTGGAAAGGTTTCAATGAAAGTTATTCATTAGACGTACCACTAAACTAATAAACCTTTGGAGTCAGCGTTGTCCAAGATGGCTCCTGCAGCTAAGTGTCCTTAGCAAAGTCAAAAGTATCTATAACTCCGTCAATTTTCTTAGCTGAGCATCTTCGCATTGTGCAACACCTTTGCTTAAAATTTAGGCATTAACTGATGGTGTCATGAGCCATTTGAGTGTATGTTGATTTTTTTTTTTAACTTACTTTCCAACAGAAGTTAAAGAGATTAGATATTGAAAAATGAAACAGAACACCAATTAAATAATGTGAATTTTAATGTGATTTCTGTACACCATCCTTATGTTCGTCTGCTTCATCATCTGTCATCCTCTGTCTTGTGTTTGTCTAGCGCAGCTGAAGGTCGCAATATGGCTGATTTCTTCGGAGAGGCCCTCCGGGTCTCGATACTTCACGCTGCCTGAGTAAACACGGCACAGCAGCGCATAAAGATCCATATTCCGTGCCTGCATCTGTGTTGGTGTTTGAAACAAAAAAATGTGCAAGGGTCTTCCTGACTTAAGATTTCCTGACTGCAGGGATGCGTGCATACCATTAGTGTGGGCTGGCTGAAATATTGATGCTGTGTTTTGTTCTCATTTTTGCTGTACTCAAGAAGCCATCTGGATAGGTTGAGCTTTCCCACATTAAATGTTAATTTTCCAGTTGCGTATGACCTGAGAAAGAGGGTAGTTTTGTAATGTGAGAAAAAAGAAAGGTGGTGGGGAGTAGGGTTCAACAATGGGTTTGTATCAGCAGATGGAAGACTGACAGCAGGGATACAGTTCAGTGGCTTAATGGAACCTGATATATGATTATATACCTTCCTTATAAATACAAAGAGATTACACGTGGTTTCATGAATAATGAACCTGCTATTATTTTGTTGATATACATGGAACTTGTTGTGAGAGAGAACTGCTGAATAATGCCTCTCAGTTTGTTTCGCAGGCACAGATCATGTTCTTCCATTGGGTCAACCAGAATGCCGCCCAACACAAATCCCAGAGGAAACTTTCAAAAGGTTTACGAGGCAGAACCAAATCATGAGCGAATTTAAAAAGCTTACCAACAACAATATAATGAGCCAGTGAACAGGTTTCCTCTTCTTCAGCATCGCCAGAGAAATGTACCATGATCTGATCGTGCACTTGGTCAGCAAAAGTCAACAGTGAAACTTGATGACGTGCTTATAGGACCAGCTAACAGCATGTCGGTTTAACAAGCCACTGTTTAATGGGAGTGTGTTTTTTAGGGAATTATCCCTCCTTTTAATAATTAATGAAAGCCCATTAATTATGGATAAATCTGTAGCCTAACCCTGATCAGGCAGGCTGAGTTGCCTACAAGCTTTGGCCTGTTGTGTGTGATGCTCTTTATAGTTGTAAGGTGGTGGGGTGGGAGGGACACACCACCTTTGTTTTGGGTGCTGTTCAGAGGGCGCCACGAGCACAGGTGATCTGCAGTGCAGACTGACAAGTGCTTGAACGTCAAATGACAGGTTTGTAAATAATGGCACCAACACTTGCACCTTTTATTTTATGTGCAGCATAAAACTTCTACATTGATTTTAAATGCTAATCATTATTCCTTACCCATTTTCCTTATACCTTATACTGATTAGTCCAAACAGTAATTGGCCTTTTTGGTTCAAGCTCCTCTCTTGGATGCTAAATCAACACAGCTGGATGCTCTACAGTTTGTGTTTATGTCTGCGCACTACCTTTTCAACACAAGCACAAAAATAGCTCAGACGCATCCTGCTATGATGCTAAAGGTGCAGACATCTTTCCCCTCTGAAGGACATAACACTGTCTGAAGTTTTTTTTGGGGGGGGGGGAGTGGGGGAAGCAGGAGGGGTGGGGGTGGGGGAGGAAATGGTGACTACCGTGTGACAAGCTCACGGTTCCTTCCTCCCAGGCCTGAGAAACAGGAAGTGGAGCACATAAGGCATTATTGTGACGGAGAGGAAATGCAAGGTCCTCTAAATTAAGAGCTCCAATCTGGTGGTCAATGACAGGAGCTTGTCCTCCATGGCCCCACAGAGACCAGTATCCCACCCCACAACCCCCCCACATCACCCCCACTTTGTCAGCAACCATAATGTCGATTTATGCAAATATATAAAACATGCTCCCATTCTGTTGCTATACAGGAAATGACCATTAATTAGTCCTGCTTCTGTTGCTGGGCAGCATTGAAGGGTTTTAGTGCTGCAGCTCCAAGACAAGCTAAAGTGCAATAAGACGTGGTAAACGTTTGCTCCCTGCTGGGCCTGCATGTGTACAAACCAAGTAACAACTGTGTTTTAAAGGGTTAAGGGAAACATATGGATGGGCTCCACCCTGCTTGTGTTTAACAGAAGCTGGTGGAGCCGTCTGCTAAGAGATGCAAGGCTTGAAAACATGTTCACTGCCAGTTAATTAACATTTAATATTTTTTCATTCTGAAAAAGCCCCAAGTCTCTGTATGTAGATGGTCATAGATATAAGATGTAATCATACAAAAGTCCTATTTATGCTGAAGGATGAATGCTGTCATATCCGTGTCTTGATCTTTGATGATCTATAGGCAGAAAGGCTATAGTGACTATGCAAAATCTGAGGCATCTCAAGCTGCAAATTAATTGGAAAAGATCAGCTTTTGTAGACCACGGCAGGTGCTAGCCACCTGTGATCAATTACACATCACAGTGCCAAAGAGTGAAGCTGGAGACTAGAACTGTTCAGCTGTGCCAACTCGTGTTTTTTTTAGGCATCAGTAATCAATTAAAGTGTCAGCTAACAATGTTTTTCTCAATTAGCAGTAGATCCATTGATGCCCGTCCCAACCGCCAACAATTAATTACCTGCAACACAGAAGCCAAGCTGTACAGGTTGTCAAGCACATTATGTCCTAACGGTTGTGTTATTGGATGTTTGCATTTTGCTTTTCCACAGGCCAAAGCTTTTATTCCTCCGTTTGTTAGAAAGAATCAGAACAAATTGCATGGTAAAATTACAGAACATTCAATTATTTGTTTATTTTTGCCTTTAACTAATGCTATAATAATGGATTTAGATGCAGAACAACAACAACAAAAAAAGGCAATCATTAAAGATTAAATCAATTTAAACTTAAGTAAACCACAAAGCCAAAGCATATTTTTTTCCCCCACACAATTATTTGTCTGACAAAGGCATATAAAAAACTGTTTACTGCCATCTACTGGTCACTGTAGACAATTACAAATTATTTAACAGTCCATATTTAAAAGGTGTATGCCTGCAGGCTGAGATTTTGTTTAATTTCTGAAAGACTGAATCAGTGAAGATAAGGAAGGCTGAGCAGCAGAACATTTGTCCTTAGACAGCTCATCATCATGGAATCCAGGTGGGGTTTTTTCTTCTAGGGGAAGCACTTGGCTAGTAGCTCTAGGAGCCATTTCCAGCCTGCCTAGACTTGTCAAGTCACCAGCACTCTCTTTGGGATCCTGGGACAGTGGTCTCTTGAGAAGGAAACCACGTCCTATAGATGGTAAGACTGGTAAAGAGGACTCCTCTTTCCCATACACCCATCCTCTTCCCATCACATTCATTTGGACCCCTGTGAATCCTTTGTCCACGACTTCAGAAGGAGGCGTGTCTTCCGCAATATTGGACATGGTGGCTGGGGACAGTGACTCTGCTGGTGCGATGGAAGGCATACTGGTCATACCTGAAGTGCATGTGGTTTGTTGGTTAAAAAGAGGCTCAGATTGTGGTGATGAAGTTGGGTCAGCAGCTGTGGGTTCAGAGGTGTCAGTCAGAGTACTGCTGTGGTCCTCTACAGCCCGTGAGGTCTGGGATTCTGACCCAGGATTTGGGTTGGAGCGAGCCAGCAGCCCACATTCTGTGACAGGGTAGTGTCTCCTAGCCCACTCCCGCCGCTCAAGACGCATTTCGTCCAGCTGCTTGAGCTCTTTGGGCAACTCCAGCACGTGCTCCTGTGGATGCATGTAGATGGGAGATGTACTTGCTAATCTGAATGGTTTTGCATTAACAACACCAACGTTTAAACGCTTCACAAGGATCTTAAAGCGTAAACTTAAGACATGTTTAGATCTACAAAGCTATGTGTGAAAAAGAGCCTGCTGGTGAATGTAAATTGACTGTAAACAATTTTGTTTTGCCAAATCAGGGTGAAAATATATAAAAAAATGTTTGTAGTTATTACTGGCTGACATAAGCAACATGAAAAACCATCAACACGAGCTCCTGTTCATTTGTGACTCACCTCAGCATGTTAAACGCACAACTCTTTTGTGGCTCCTTTTTTGTACATTTATAGCATCTTTTACAACAATCTTGTTTATGCACAGTTTTCAAGGAAATTACAATGGATGCTACTGGAAATGTTTCAACAACGGTGCTGCTTGCTTTATCCACCGTGAAAACATGTGCATAAAACAAATGTAGCCTGAAGGTCTACAAAGAGATGCTAATGCATGTAACCTGCAGTTAGTTATGCAAGCTGCAGATACGGAGAGTAAATAGCGTCTCAGTGTCCAATTAAAAACCAACATATGCCTAAATATATAAGGTTTGTGGTCTAAACTGCACCTTATGACTGTTGCGTCTTCTACCTGAGCCACAGTTATCATGACAGCTGTATGGTTGGGCCATTAAATGTGTTGAAGTCAAACCGCAAGCTGAATGTGATTACTGGAAACTCAGTAAGGGTATGGTTAAATACTAAACTTGAGGTTTTGAAACAGTACACAAACTAAGGGACGTTGTGATGGCCCATGAATGATAAACGCCATGCGTAACACCTGCCGCTACTCTGGCCTCGCATTTTGCAACGTGCACACTTGAGTTTAAAGTGAAGAATGTAATCTGCATAAAATATTACTTCTCTACATGCATAAGCTTGTTGAATAGACAATTGGCTTTCAGACGCCAAAAGTTTTGTTGCTCAGACAGTAACACGTGCACACTTGCTTAAGCATCTTTCGCTCCTTACAGATTCACTACCTCCTGATGTGTGTGGAGAAGATAAACTGAGAAAAGTCTTAATTAACATTTATTTGCCTAAGGCAAATAGTTATCTTAAAATGCAGACTACAGCTTCGTCATGCAGACATTTCTGGTATAATTACAGCCATTTGTTTCTCATTTACTTACCATAGTGATAGGCTCCAGTCCATCTGGTTCATAGTGGGTGTTGTTAAGGTAGGAATCCACCAGGGTTTTATAGTCATTCATGAGTGTGTCTAGCAGCACCATTCTCAGAGGCTGTAGATGAATCACTGACAAAGCCATCACCTTCAGCAACGGCACAGGGCAAGGCCGTTTGTACCACATCTCCATTTCTTCCTACAAAAATTACTCTTCAGTCATTACAGGACGTTCAAATGAACAGATTTTAAGTGAACAGCACTGCTCACCTTGCTCTAATAAAATGTTCTGGTGGTAAACGTTGGGTCTTTGTGTTTTTACTGATGTTTGTTTGATGCGTTTCATATGTGTAAAAATATAGTTGCAAAACCCAGAACACCTAATTGCAATTAGTTTAGTCAGACAGCACGGCAATGTGCAATAGTACATAATAAAACCTACTGAAGTGTAGTTCAGCGAACACAACAGAGAGTCACAAGTGTGTACCTGTCTTTTAATTGCCCCAAATCACCAACGTGAGCTACATCAGAACAAACCCATTCCACAGAAAATTCAAGCTGCAACCCAACCGTCCTGCAAGGTACAGATCAGTAGATATTTATACATTTTATAAAAACATTGCTAAGGAGACTGGGCGTACCTTGGTGAGCTGTGACTTTATCTGAAGAGAAGAGAGCCTGGAGGAGGACACCTTCAGATGAAGACTCACCACTCCCTGGAGAGTACTGACTTTGTCAGGAAGGAATCCTCCTGTCTCCGAGTAGAAGCACATGACATCTGCCACCTTAAAACACAAGTGAAACAATAATAAAACATACATAAAGTCAGGGACACACTAAGCCCTATTTATGAAAAAGGCAACAATGCAGACAGTGCACCGACCTGAGTGTCAAAAATGTTGGAAAGTTTTACTCCGAACTGAGCAAACAGAGATCCAGCGATGGCTCTGCAGTCATGAATGACCTGCAACAAACAGATGGTATGGTACATTAATAACCGCTTTGACTAAACAGGATTTCAAGTGGGTTCACAATGCTTACCTTCAATATGTGTTTACTTTCCAGGATCATTGAGAGACCATTCTTAAATGCCCTTGGTCCAAGTAACAGTATGTCAAACAAGTACACCTTGCACTTTGTAGCAATCTAATGAGTAACAATTATTTTTGTTATTTATAGCTGAAATACGAATAGGCAGGAGATAAAAAGAACCAAACAGAGGAAGAACAAAAATATCAAGAGCTTAGAACTTCTCACCTGCAGCCAGCACAATCTTCCATTTTTGTATATCTCAACTCCTTCACCTGCCACGCCGATGACGTGCTGCTTTTTGATGTGCGCCACCTACAGAATAACCACTGAGACTTGAACATTTAAATATGCATCAAGTGAGGAAATAACCTAAGCTGAATCAAACAACTCAAAATAGTCCACTTACTGCAGGTCCAAACTTCTGGTGAAATTCGTCAATTACTACAAAGTTAATGGCATCGTCTTCAGCTTCATCTTCATCATCTGGAAGAGACAAACCTCTCAGAAGTCAATAATAGCTTTCTTTCATTGCAAGCACAAATAGCAACTTTTCTTAGCAATTAAACTCACCCAATGCAAGTATCTTCCTATACGGCTGACACTTTTCCACGTTCAAGCGCCCTTCAGATGCACAGAGGTCAAAGTCTCTGAAAAATGATTCACATTTCCATTTATTGAGACCAAGGAGCACCACTGCAAAGATTGGATGATTTCAGAATAGTTTACTCACCCAGGATCAGCACTTGCTTCATCAGTGAATTCAACTTTGCGTTCAATTGATCAAAAATAATCGTGTTAGATGGTTATTAGTTCAAAGCCATGAGTGGTGACTTGTCTTAAATATATATAATATATATACATATATTTACCATTCAGAATCTCATGTCCAAAAAACAGCTTGGTTCCAGGAATTTTGCGTCCATTTATGTCACTCACTGAAAGATTTCCAAAATATTATTTTCTTATAATGTACAGTTAAAGTAAATAAAAACAATAAATTGCTAACCGTCTGCCAAAACCAGGGTTTTGTTTGGATTGATGCGTTGAACGACCCCCATGAAAGATGAACTCTTGAGCGTCAGTTTGATGCGTTTTCCTTTCAGGAGAGTCATGAAGTGAGCGTCGTCAACAACCATTTCTACACCAAGATTCTTGGTTTTAGCCTGCTTTAAATATTATTATGTCTCTCACAAACTAATTTTGCAAATGCAGTTAGCTACTTGTAGCCATCGACGTTAGCATTCAGAGCGCGGCTTTGAACATGGTTTATGCTGCGTTCAATGACTCTTCGTTACTTTTTTTATTCGGTCTTCCGTAAACAATTTATGTGGAAGAAGAACGAAAATAAATAGAAAAATAGTTTTGTCGTTGACATATTTACACATGTCTAAAAATACAGTATATATTGCTTGAATTATGAGGGATAGATTGGACAGCACTCACTGTCCAATGAAGGAGTATGAAAGTTTTTAATAACTTTGAAAGCACCAACCAGAAACAGTTTTGCTTTAGTTTCCCACTAGTGGTCATGAAGGGGATTGCAGGCAGCGATCGCATTTTTAAAATTGTATGACATTCAGATTAATATCTCTAAATAATGCAGTATCAAATAAAGTTGTGTTAAGTCCAGTCAATGGGAATTATATTTAAAACTGCATTGATAAAAGCCAAAATCAATGTTAAAAAGGAAAATTTAAATGACACTAAATGGCCACAGTTATTACAGCTGTATCTGTAGCATATTTATGCACATCACTGCCTTTTTTTAACCTAATTTGTATCTTCATGAAAACAAAATGAGAATATATGTGGTAAAATATGCATAAATTCCTACACTATTTGTTTAACCCACATTTTTCTCCTATTTTTCTATGCAGGGAGACAATGAAAGGAATAATAAATCAGTCTTTTGTCATTGCTCACTTTAAAGCAGTATATTTTCAATAACCTGGGCTACAAAACAGTATGGAAAAAATAAATCTTTTAGATGCCACATGGGGGCAGACTTAAGTTGTCAAAGAGATCAGCAGTGACAAGACTGCTGCTATTTTAGCTAAAGTGTGCAGCTGTAAGTAGGTTTTCATGACTTCATTTTGCCAATGGAAGCATGAATCTAAGTTGTTCATTTGAAAACAGGAGAGACACCTAATCAAGTGAAGGATGTTCCTCCAGAGAACACCCAACTAAAAGTCAAGTAAAAGGTCAAATTTGGAATTTCACAAATTATTAACACCATTCATTAGGAAATATTTAATCATACTCAATAACATGCCTTTCATGACCTGTGATCTGTCTCAGCCTTCTGTACCTAAAGTCACAAACGAACACTTCTGATGACTTAAAACCTCTGAAGCATTAAACTCAAGGCAAGACAGCATGTAAACCATTGACTCAGTGACTAACGTTAAGGGATTTATTATGTTGGTTCAGTTTGGAAATAATGTCTACATGTTCTGAAATAAAATGGAAGAATATTTAGCCAGTTTTGAACCAAGTGCCTGCCTGAATCTACCCAAAGATAAAACTCCACAGGTCACTGACGCTGAAGACTTCAGGAAACTTCCTCTCTCGACCACCTACGGCAAAACAACAGCACGCCATAACAGAACGTGCAACCTTTTTATCTTTAAAGGAAGATCCACCCTTTCCTGCTCTGCAGACTGAGCAAACAGAAAGTTTTAGTAAAGCAAAGAAGGAATCACATCATTCAGATTTTCCAAAATGGACCTAAATCAAGGAGCTACCATGGCATGGGTGGAATTAACAACATGACTTCTCACAATATGTTTAGTTTAATGATTTAAAAATATATATTAGCTGGATAAAATTGGGTTTAAAGCAACATGTATCTTTATCCTGACTCCGCCAAGAATTTTGTAAAGTAAAGTAAAAGTTCACAGCATGATCCTCTTTGTTACGTGAAACACAACTCCTGCCTGTTTATCTGTTTTAGAGCAGGAAAGCACAAAGTAACACAAATCTGCAGACAGGACTGCATTTTCTAACTCAATAAAGTAAAGTAGAAAGTCCAAAAACACATTTAAAGCATGATGGCCTTTATGAGAAAGTAAATAAATGTTAAAGTTTAACAAAGTTAAGTCAGGTCCTCTGGACGAATTCTTCTTAAGTTTTTTGTCTTTTATCCAAACAAAACACAACTTTTAAATTGCAGCAAACAACTTTTATTCAACAAGAAGAATCCATCCAGAGGACCTGACTTAAATTTGTTAGATTTTTCTGGATTATTTAGCACGCATCAGGACAAATGTTAAAATTATATTTAATCATAAGCACAGAGTTTTTTTAATGATATGTCCTATCATCTTCCTTATCAGCCTGAACAGACACTGGATATGTGTCTGTGTTTGATTAGAAGGAGAATGTTGCTTCACTAGAGTCAACCTATATTTAATGTCAGGAAAGGACTCACAAAGCATTTCATGTGCATTGGGGCATTAAAAGTAGAGATACACATTTAGAGTCATAAGTAATCCTGAGTGTTTTGCTGTTGTTGTTATTGAAAAAAGCACAGTGAACTTGTTCCCTCCATGAAGTTCTGCTCAACCATTATTGTATAAATCGTAACAGCCATTACAGGACAACATTAAAGGTCCTCGTTGCAAAGTATAAGTGAAATGGTGAAAATCCCTGAGCTATATCAAAAGATGCAGTATGAAATAATTTACTTTAGGAGTTTTTCTAATATACTAATGTGCAATTCTGAAATGCAGGTATGCACTCAATATAAACAAACAACTCAGCAGGAAGCTTATCTGCACACTTTACTTTACAAATATGTACATAAACACCAATATGTTAAAATTGTCCAACGTTTTGAACCCAAAATGTCTATTCTTCTTGACCTATTTTTTTAATGTTTGTTACTTTTCAGATTTTATCTTAGAGCAACGAGCACCTTTAATGTGCTAGTGGATAATCTGTCTTGATTTCAAAGTCTTAAAGTTGCTTCAATAAACCCGTGAGACCTGAATGAGGAGAGTCAGGGAGTGACATGCCGGGCGACCGCCCCCACGCAGACACGCGGGGTGAATCTGAACTGTGGGACGTTCACGGACTACTCAGACACAAAGCTGCGGAGCGCGCGCAGCGGAGGCGCACCGAGCCGAGCCCGGAGATGAAATGCTCCCATCGAGGAGGACGCAGATGGACAGCCTGGTTCAGCCGCTCGTCGCCCAGTACCTCGCCATGGGATGCCAAACTAAGGAGAACCAAAACGAAAGCGTGCCGGCGGACGAAAAGGGCAAAGAAGACGCGTAAGTCAGACCCTGGTCGTTTCGCCAAAGACGCGCGGTTTGGGAAACAGTATGCGCACTTGTTAGAATTGATCACTTTGGTTAGGAGAGCTGTTCTACTGCCATTTCCCCCTAAAACCACAAACAAATAGCTCAGAATGTGTGTTCCAAAAGGACGAAATAGTGTTACGCACAAACACAGACATGCAGGCACAGGCACGTCTGTGTTTATAGGCTGCACTTAAAATACCAACAACTGGGAACTTGTCATTTGTTTGCTGATTAAAGAGTTCACACATGAAACAAAAGCTGTGGATGAATCACAATCTTAACTGGAGATGAGCTCAGAGAAAAAGGAGCAAATTCTCAGTCCCTCTTCACTCTGTGTTTCTCCAGGAGGGTGACTTCAGGGTGCACCTCCAACAAGCCAAGAGTTTCTCCTCCAGGCCGTCCCAACAGGTTCCACAAACCGGCCCACAACACCCCTGGCAAACTGGTGATACCTCTGGGACACCTCGGCAAGGGGGCAACCTGGAATGAACTAATCCAAGCTTGTCTGGAGTGTTTCGGTAAGCCCCCATCCAAAAGCCTGTAAAATGTGAGGTGTTGGATCAAGTGTTTGGAGTTATTTTATGTTGGGAAACGTTTGTTTCAGGTCGCAAGCTGTTTAATGTGTGTGTTCGATTGAGAGTGGGGGAAAATATGGAGCAGCAGTGATTGTGCAGGCAGCGGATCAGTCGAAGACCTTTGGCTCAATGAAGTTGTCTGGGGTGCTCTCAGTTCTGGTGATTGTATCTCTGAAGAGACAGCTTTCAGATGGCCGTTGCCTGGTTACGCTAATGCAGCGAAAAGGAGTGTTAAGATGGACTTCACGTTAAAAAAAAGACATCTGAGAACTACGTTCAAAGTAGAAGTTGGCTCTAATGACAGGGTTGAGTCATTAGAAAAGGCGTGAAATGACCAGTATAAGGTGCAATGCACATGATTTTTTAATGTCACCTCTGTATGCAAAACATGAGATTTGTGCATGCAATGACAGAGATGATATCTGTGAGTGCTGTGTTGTGAATGGGGTGTTCCTTGAACAGTTTTTGATAGAATGGCAGCTCATGCCGGCTCGCATCACACGTAACCCCCCACGGTCCACAAGTCCTGCCACCCTTTTTTGAATGTGAGAGCGCTCGTTTGTTTGAAAGATCGACCCCAAAAGCCGTCAGCTTTAAGCCCGGCCAAGCTGAAAGGTCACCCCTCTGATGGTGACCAACCTTTTGAAATGCACAGCACTTGCGAGGTGTGGATCAGTCGGTGACATCACCACTTTCACCTCAAAGATATGCTCTCACAAAATGTACGGGTTGTTTAACAGAAACGAGAAATCAGCAATGAAATCTGTAAAAAAAAAAAAAAAAAAAAAAAAAAAGGTGTCCACAGGCATAAAATATTTATCCAGATAAAAAGTTTTCTTTGATTAACTTTCACTTTTTTTTTTTTTAGAGATGCACGATATTATCGGCATGGTATCGGTATCGGTCGATATTAGCGATAAAGTTAAATATCGGACATTGGCCATTCC